TGTCAGAAAATATGTGTGAGTTTCTTTCTTCCCACAAAGACCAGCAAACCGCTGCCCTAATACACCTCCACATAGTCTTCCCTCGCTTCTTAGGCTAACTGAAAAAAGAAGGAGAAAACAAACCTTGGACAGTCTCCGGAGGAAACCAAGAACACCCAAAACGGGAGAAAACCCACTCCCAAACAGATTTAGCAACCTTACAAGAGACCATGAGGTGGTGGCCAGATTCCCCATCAGCTTTACAAAGAGCACATCTATTANGCCAGATTCCCCATCAGCTTTACAAAGAGCACATCTATTAAGAAGTAGACAATAGTTGGGTCTCTTTCTTTGGAGTAAGTCTAAAGTGTTGATTCTTTCCAGGAAAATTTCCCAACAAAAAAAAACCCACCCGAGGAGGAATAGGTCTGCTCCAAATTTCCTTAACTGGAAAGGACAACCCCAGGGGGGTAGGAGGCTGAGTTAAGGTTTCAAAGAAAGAAGCACAATAAAAGGTACCAGAGCTAGAAAGGGTCCAAAATCTGGTGTCTTCCTTAGCAGGGTTTAGGAAGACACCCTCAAGGGAGGCTATCAGAGCTACCAGGCTATCCAAGTCCGTATCCCTAAATAGACTAATTAGGAACCACTATTGTGATTAAAGTCTGGAATGTTATTAAACTATATTCATTTCCAAACCCTTCTCAATGGGTGAAATGATGCAAGGTTGACAACATATTGCTATATCTTCATCTACAGCCAACAATTTGGCTAATCAAATTTGGTTCCCTCCTCAAGAAAATAGTCTCAAATTGAACTTTGATGGGTGCAGCATGGGAAATCCATGGCAATCAGGGATTGGAGAATGGAGATGTGTTTAGACATCATTATGGCACATCAGCAGCTTTGTGCTCAGGACCTATTGGGTACAGGAATTCAATAAAAATAGAACTACTGGATGTACTCCAAGGTCTAAGAATAGGGATAGAGCTCAACTGGCTGCAAGTATAGGGTGATTTAAAGGTTATAGTGGAATGTCTCAGAAGCAATAGCCAAGGGCCATGGCAATATAGACATGTTTCGAGAGAAACCAGACATCAAGATAGGAATTTAAAAGCCAGATTCATCTGGGTTCAGAGATCATCTAATAGCATGGGAGATGTTTTTGCAAAACAAGTAGAATACAATTATACAGGGGGCTAATTCCTAGGAGAATGATAACATTGTAATTTAAAAATAAGAAAAGGTACATGGGGTGGATAGCAGCACTATACGATAGGTGCATTTTTATTGTATATATCACATATTTTTTTTGATTAATGAATAAGTATTTTATTAATCCAGAAAATAAGAGTTACAGGCAACCAAAGGAAAGGCACGAGATGCGACCTTTCCTTTAAGATTGATTACAGCATTACAAAATCAGATGAACATGATTACAAGGTAGCCCAAAATAAAAAGTCCCGAGAAACCCCCTGTTTAGCAAGTGAATCAGCCATAGAGTTTGCTGATCTGCCTACCAAGGGACTCTAACTGTCATATTTCTTGTTAGCCATTTGACTATTTTAAAGAGGTCTCTATAACCCCAAATCACAGAATCCGGATTCAGCAGCCATCCCACCACCACCTGAAAGTCCCCTTCAATAAGCAAGTGCTCTATCCCTAACTGGTTTGCAAGCTGGATACCTTGTACTGCAGCAAGCAATTCAGCTCTTATAGAGTCTCCCAGACCCATAGGCCCTGAATATAAGGATATGATCATACCATCTTTATTTCTAAGAACTCCTCCTATACCCGTGGGTCCAGGGTTACCTCTACTACTCCCATCAAAATTCAGCTTTAACAAACTCCTCCCCAGGTGGCTCCCATTGTACTAAAAGTCTGTTATTCCTGGTAGAAGTATTGGCTACTGCTAACCAGTTCCTCCACATGTCATCAAAGGAATAACTATCAAACAGATTTAATGTTTTCAACCACTGAATTGCCCTTGTCAAAACACAGTCCTTAACTTCTAACACGCTCCTTTCCTTTCCAGAAAAAATTCTGGTGTTTCTTTCTTCCCAGACAGTCCACAAGACTGCTGCTCTAATACCCTTCCACATAATTCTCACTCTCTTTGTGTGCCACTCAAAAGTAGACGGACTAAACAACAAGCTAATATCGGATGGTAGGTTCCACCTACTCTCAAACAGCCCAAAAATCCAATCCCATAGAGCTGCAGCAAAGGAACAAGAGATCAGTAAGTGGTAACAGTCCTCACTTTGAGCTTTACAAAGGACACACCAATTCGGAGATAAGCACCAATTTGGTCTCTTCCTCTGCATGTTTTCAAAGGTATTAATCTTACCATAGTAGACTTCCCAACAGAAAACAGCAATCTTTGGGAGAATAGGTCTGATCCAGACTTCTTTAACTGGGAAAGCCAAGGGTGCAGAAGAAGGAGCAAAGGGATTTGAAAAAGGAGGAGCAAGTAAAACAGCCTCTCGGGTTAGGGGTCCAAATTCTTAAATCAGAATTGGGGGGACCCAAACAAGTGGAGTCGAGTGATGACAAAAGTTCAAAAGCACAAGTATATTCATCATCACTTAACCCTCTTCGAAAACCAAAATCCCAGTTCAATGCCAAAGGAGAAACCGGGGAAGAGGTAAACTTGGAAATTGGCTCTTTCTTGTAACGGGAGAGAGAGTAAAGAGATGGAAAAAGGTCTTCAAGGGGTTGGTTTCCCATCCAAAGGTCTTCCCAAAAAAGAACATTATTTCTAGAGTAGACATCATACCTGACCAGACTGAGAAAATGGGGAAGAATCCCATGTATAGCCTTCCATGGTGTTGTAAGGGTCGCCCGTCGAGATATCCCAGCATCCCATCCATTCGCCAAACAGCCATGAATGCTAGTCACCACCTTGTGCTACTCTCCCTCTCCAAAGGCCATCTCCATAACCACTTCCCTAGCAGAGCGTCATTCTTATGAATTAGGTTACCTAGTCCTAGTCCCCCTTCTTCCTTGCTTCTGCTAACTATCTCCCACCTAATCAAATGATCTTTTTTCACTTCCCCTGGCTCCCACAAAAAATCCCTCATCAGTTTTCTAACTTCTTAGCTTCCCTTGAGGGTATCCTGAATACCGATAGAAAATAAATCGGCAGACTAGCAAGTGTAGCCCTAATCAATGTCACTCTACCCCCTATGGAAATATAACTCGTCTTCCAAGACACCAACCTCTTTTCAAACTTTTCCACAATTGGATACCAAAATTTACTTTCTTTGGGGTTAGCTCCTAGAGGAAGCCCCAAATAGATCAAAGGCCAATGGAACATAGAACATCCTAAGCAATCTGCAATATCTCCCCCTCCTCCAAATTGATTCCCACCACGCAGCTTTTATCAAGGTTGAATGACAAGCTGGAGGCAGACTCAAAGGATTTAATAAGAGATTTCAGGTTCCTCACTCTCCTTAGGTCTCTCCCCTCACAGAAAATGATAACATCATCCACAAACTGGAGGTGGGTCATCGGGACATTATTTCTACCTATCCTCCAACCACTTATTAGCTCCTCCCTGTCTGCTTAGAAATCATTTTGCTAAACACATCTGCCACAAGTGTAAACAAGAAAGGTGAAAGTGGATCACCTTGTCTTAACCCTCTACAAGCTGGGA